ATCCCTTATCACCCCTAGATTCAAAACAGGACCACGTAGTGATATTATTAACTATAGGCCAATTAATTTGACATCCGTGCTGTCAAGAACCATGGAAAAAATCATCCACAAACAGCTACTATCATTTTTACTTTCAGCTAGTCTGATCAGCCCATCCCAACACGGGTTTATGACTAAACGCTCATGTTTCACATCGCACCTGGAGTTTTTTGATCAAATTACCCAGAGAAGAGATGTTGGTCAGTCAGTGATAATTCTTTACTTCGATTTTAGTAAAGCTTTCGACAGTGTCTCACACAAACTTCTTCTTTTAAAACTCTCTTCATTTGGCATACAGAATCCCCTTTTATCTTGGCTCAAATCTTTTTTAGAAGAACGTAGCCAAATCGTTCGCTATGGATCTTGCTACTCTAAACCTGTAAATGTAACCAGTGGGGTTATTCAAGGAAGTGTGGTTGGTCCATTGCTCTTTCTCCTTTTTATCAATGATGTGTGTTCCCTCTTTCAGTATGGTAAGCCTTTCCTTTTTGCTGATGACCTGAAAGTAGTTTATTCATTCTCTTCTTCCACGAAAGAAAGCTATATTTCTGCGATAATCCAGGAGGAAATAAACAAGTTGTACGAATGGACTATTTCGTGGAATATGCCACTTAATGTTGACAAAAGCGGATTTATTCACATTGGTCGCTGTCTTAACTTAAATCTGACTGTACAGACACATACACTCAAACCTCTCAACACTGTTCGTGACCTGGGTTTAAGATATAGCAATAGTCTGAACTTTTCTGAACACATTATATCTCAAGTATCCAAAGCTAGAAAGCTCATCGGATTGATAATGATAAACTTCAATAATATCGAATCGAGATTGTTACTATACAGAAAATGTGTCTTGCCCATTCTTGAATATGGTATTTTAGTTTACAGTAATTGTAGACATAATGATCTGATTAGAATTGAAGGTGTTCAAAGAAAGTTCACCAAAGCTGTTCTGGGGTATTCCGATAACAAAGACTACTACCAAAGATGTCAACAACTCAACTTAGAACCTCTTTGGATCAGACGTATCAAATTAAATCTTGTCTTTATCTACCGGCTCATTAACGGTATTTCCTACTCATCGGTATCTACCCCTTCATACCTTATAATATCGTCCCACAATCTACGCAATAAGGAGAATATTATAGCGATTCCAAGAACCCACACAAACTTACGTCAGAATTTTTTCCTTATTCGCTACTCAACCATGTGGAACAGACTGCCAGTGAACCTCCGTTGCAGTGAAACTACAACCCGGTTCAAAAGTCTCCTTGACGATTTTCTTTCCGAAAGTGGATTATGTCATCTATTGAATATCAATGTATTCAATAATGATTTATACAAACAAGGTCCGTCATTTATTTAATTGCTTGAAAAGCAAAATAAAACCTTTAAATCTTTTCACGTCTATTTTGTTTTATTTATCTTAATATATGAAGTCTGATTATGTTCGTGTTTTATCATTATTACCGTTATTAATATCATTATTAGTTCCCCGACACATTAGATATTCTTTTTGTATCTTCTTACCCTTCTAAACATATTTAACTCCAAATTGTCCTTTGAAATCAATTTTGACTTTCATAGCATCAATCTTAATTATTATTGAACAATTGTTTATACTAATGTTCGCTTTCACTCTGTATATTATTACATAAATCTAAATGTATTCATCCGAGTGCATTGAAGGATTTTTATTTCATTTTTCTAAATTGTTGGTTTCCTTCTGAGGTTGATATTCATTACACAATTATTATTCTTATCATGGATCAAAACTTTTCACTAGGTGTTCACTTCTTTTCTCTTTTCTTTCCCTCTAAATAAATATTCTTAAGACTACGAAGTTTTTAACTAAGACAATAACTTGTGTTTTATCTTCACTATGCATATATGACTACTCATACACATAGATATTTTATTACCTTTTTCATTTAATTGAGACTTTCATAGCATCACTCCAAACTATGTGACTGCACAGACATTTATATTCTAGCGTCATATCTTACTGCAATTATAAGTTATTTTTTCTTAATTATTTTTTGTTACTAATTTAACGATACACACATAGTCGTTTATTCTTGTTCTGTGTTCATAAACACGCCTATTAGACTGTTTGCGTATTTCATGTCTCCTTTATTTCTATTCCCTTATTTTCTCCATTTCCTTCTTTAAACCCAATTCAATGTTCTTCTCAATTACAAAGACCCCATTTATTATTATTAATATTCTACTATTATTATTCTCAATTATCTATTTTATTTTTATTATTATTATTTTTTTAAATATGGCCAGTATAATGCTAACATTATTGAAAATTGTGTATTATTGCATTTTCTGAAGAAACCCGAAATGGTTTCTTCACAACACTTATGTACCCATAAGATGTTTGTGAATAATAATAATAATAATAATAATAATAATAATAATAATAATAACGCGTGAGTGTATGACATAACTCGGTTATGTCGTTCTGAGTCGTTTGAGGCTTTTCCTTGACTGTAAAAGCCTCAGTAGATTTCGTAATCTCTAAGATACGATCGGCAGATGCAGCCAGTTCGTCTAAGGCGTTGTTCTGAAACGAGACCAGAACCGCTTGCATCTGTTGGGGGAGTTTTGACAAGAAAAGTTGTTTGAATAGACCTTCATCGGAAGTTCTTGGGCCTATAACCTCTCTCATCCTTTGCAACATGCCCGTCGTAGAACCGTGCTGCAGGTCTATGTTATTAAACAGTTGATCTAACCTTTGTCGATCGGTTAGGTCTCTGCGTTTAAGAATAGAACGTTTTAGCGTTTCGTAAGGTTCGGAAACATCACTAGTAAACATACTAGGTGTTACGTACCTGTTGAATTCCCGCGGTAGTGCCTTGACTACTGCGAGGAATTGTGCACGTGTGTCGTTCACGCCGTGCTCAGAGAAGTCGGCTCCTGCGTAGCAGAACCAGGCTTCGATGTTGTCGGGCCAGAAATGCATGAGTTGAAACGAAGGTGGGGACATGATCTTAATCCTAAATACTTTAGGAGTCTGTTCGGTCATGATGAAATATGAAGTACGCTAATGAACGAGGGGAAAAATATATATATATCCAAGAAAAAACACGAAAAAATATCACACTGTATAAAAAATAAAAAATAAGGCAATGATATATAAAAATCCCAAAAAGGAACAGACTCACAGTTGCAATTAGGTGCACCAGATCACATCGGTCTCATCAATGAAGATGACGCAGGTATTCAGTGTTTGACAACGCTTCTACCAGTAACACCTAATATAATTCGTTCCCACCCAGAGAAGTCAAAAGACAGAGTCGAGGAGATCGGAACAGTGTATTTGGCGATAACCAAAATATCGGAATTCTCTGATCTAATCTGGCTAGCGATTGCGGTTGATGTTGAGCACGGCGTTACCACACGTGATCTGGTGCGGATGCCTGACCGAGCGCCTTCAGCTAGATGAGTCCACTAAAACATATGGTCAGCATCCAATGTCGAAAACTTACAGGGCTATTTATTTTGGGGATTTATTTACCGCTACAGATCACTCCCCCCCTAGTGGGTTCGTGATGAACCTAAGACATGTTCAGCCAGAAGTTTAAACCCAGCGAGTTTGTCGTTGGTAAACACCCTTCTGATAGCTTGCTAGGATTAGCAGCGTCTGGTCGTCTTTCCTTACTATATGGGACTGAGGTACACATAGTAAAAAAAGAAAATGTAAAATGAAAATTTCGGATTTATTTACCGCTAAACCATGATTAGATTTATTGTTTTTCCCTTCTTTATCACAATTTTGGCTGATTTTCACTGTTTTATTCGACTTTTATGGCAGGAATAGGTTTATAGTGAAAACATTAGGTGTCCTGAGTGTTGTAAATATTATATAAATGCTAAAGATGATAATGACACATATCAAGATGTTAATATCACTTTCTACAGTTAGATGTATTAGCCACCAAATGATTATATTACAAGAAATAAATCATAATCATGCGGAAGAGGTGTAATTATGTGAATATTTTACCAGAGGTCAAGCTAAGATAGCTTTACTACCTCTTGTGTGGAGCTACAATGTTTTGGCTGCCGGTATTATTGCAAAAATACCTAATAGTAGAAATAAATACTGATATAAAGTTGTCACGAAAAAGCACTGAAAATTACGATTCGATAGTCCAGATATCTTGATCTAAGGTGATCAGATTGTGTGAGATCCTATATGATGATCTTCGGAAATCAACCAAGGCCTTTCTAGCTTACGTGCTGATGCCGTAAATGACAATTACTCATAACTTACGTGGGACTAAAGTAGAATATGCACTAAGAATTGCGGGTTACACAGGACGATTCAAAGTAAATTCAGACAGTAGTCTTTATATATGTTCATCGTCTAAGTTTCCGAAGTGCAACCTGTCCAAAGAATTAAATAATACATTCCGTGTATGTTGTGACCCATACTTTCCTAAGCAACGCAAGAGATAAAGGAAATAAGCGTGATTGACTATCCAAAGGAAGGGTGTGCTAAATGCACTTTCGATCTGTAATTGAATACTGGTTTCCGTTTTTATACTAGTTTCTGGTAAACATTTATACTGAAATAACGTTCCTGTCTATCTTATTTCCAGCTAGCTTCGCAAGTGTTCACAGACCTAACGGGAACAATTCCTGAGAAATAGAAGTTATTTATTGATGGATCATTTGTGCTAGATTCAAACTTTAATAATCGTTTTCATTTATAACGCATCAGTCTTTTAATTACGGCAATTCTTATCTATCGTGACAGGTCGGAATTCGAACTACTAGTATGGTACATCATGTTTAAGGTTGCAGTATCTGGTAAACGGTATGTATGACTAATATCGTGTGCGTCAAACTGGTAACTATTACACAAGAACGCGAAACATCCCTGTCTCACAGCCAGATAAGACTGCACAGTACACTCCTTGCCGTTACGCTATAAGAATAAGTCAATGGCCATATAAATGAATTTATGTAAAACTAAGGGGATTACAATATTAGAACTTCTTGTTATCAAGAAGCATAGCTATGGTCTGTATTAACAATGGATTCTGACGTTGTAGCTTCATCATTAGCACCGACTGAACTCATCACTTGTGTGCATATGTCTTCCGATGCTTCGAGGCATGAATGGATGAGTTTACTCGACAAAGGTTCACTAAGAGCATGGATTGAGTGGTAGTTGTTAGTGAACTTCTCTAGCAGATCATCACTCCCTGTAGAGATTGAGATGTTGTCCAGCGCACGAAGAACCAGGTCCATTACGTATTTTCTTGTCCACCGTTTGCTGTGTCAAAATAAGTCTACAAAACTTATAGAGATAAAGGAACACACATACCTCCACGAATCAGATCTTTAGAATGTGCATACAAAATATGACCACAGAGCAGCATGTAGTCATTGAAACGCTCACAGGCACATCGTGCACGTGAAGTATCAACAACATACATCATACCCTTGTCGTAGCACCGGATGTATTCTCCTTCTGTAAATTCGTGTCTCATTGTCCGAACACGTTTATAATTTACAGCTACAATTTTAGCTGCAAAAGATGTGAACTCATTTAGAAGAGTTCGAAATGACATTGGAACCTGGAATTAATGATACATTTAACCATATTTCTTACCTGAAGAATTGGAAAACGTTGAAGATCCTTTACAGCGTCATATGGACGCAAACTTAGGTCAATGCCTGTTTTACTCCAAAATTTCCAGAACGTCAATAGCAGGGAATCACCTCTTCTGAGACATTCTTTTAGATGTTTGTGAGCACTTTCGACACAGTTGTTTGTGTGGTTGCCCAGGCTTAATACATGTCGCCGGTAACAGCGAGTCCACATTGACTTCCTGGCGATCCAGTAATCTTTTATGTAATCACACGCCCGTGGGAAATGCGTCCTTAGATGTTCGTACTTCTGAGTAAATCTGAATATAATGCGTTATGAAAAGCGAAGTTCACATATCAGACCGTCTAGTCTTCACAAGGTGTTCCAAGCATTTGCGCACATCAGGATTTCGGAACTACAGAAAATAATTTGTACAGCTAACACATACCTTCCTGAAAAATGCTCTTAGGACATGGAATGAACAAAGTATTATGTTAGAATGACTGTGCGTAGACTGCACAGCTGAAATTTCGGTCGCTGCCGAATCCATAATGAAAGTGCGTGTAGCATAAGTACCGCACATTATCTCTTTAAAACATTCCAATAGTTTTTCAACATCTTCGTGTCGTTCTTGACTGCAAAGAGCATACATAACAGTGTGCCCTTGCTCAAGACTATCAGTCACCACTAGCTGGACAGTGAAAAACTTTGAGATAAATTTATTACTAATCGTTACTTACCCGACTTTATTGGTCTGATAAGTCGAATCAATACATATTACCTCCGGGAGCGCGTGGTAAACAGCTATTTGCTCTCTGCGGCTGAAGCAAATGGCTGCAATTAAACGCAACTCAATTTCGTAAATGTGCCCTTCAGCTTAGCAACCAATCAGAATGAGGCGGGAATTATTACATCCGCCATCTTCGTAAGCAATGGCGGTCGGCTTTCTTCGTTCTGTGCTTCTTTCAACTATTTCTTTTGTGTAGCTGTGTAATTTAATGTTTCAGTGTGCTAAAATGCCGCAGTTAGTGTAATGTTCTATATGTTGGTGTGAAGTTTATTTCGAATCAGCGATGTTTTCTGGGTTTTTGCTGCTTCTACTCAAGTCAATATATTTCTTCAGGCAATCTGGCTAGTCTTGTGTTATAAAATGTCGGCCGGCTTTCTTCGTTCTGTGTTTCTTCCGCTATTTCTTTTGTGTAGCTACAGAATTTGATGTTTCGGTGTTCTAAAATCCAGAAGTTAATGTAATACTCTGAACGTTGAAGCAAAAGTTTTCCTGATTTCGCTTTGTTTTCTGGGTTTTACCTGCTGCTAATGAAGTCACTGTATTTATTCAGCTAAGCTGGCTAGTACTAACATAAGACCTTACGTTTTCAAAAACGACAGTCGGTTATGTTTTACCTTGTTTTCTAGATATTCGAAGCCAAAGTTCGTTTTCATTTAGCTAAAATAATTGTTGCTGCCGCCTGTGACTCTAACTGTTAGCATGTTCGTTCCTAACTGTCCTTTATGATGTTATCGGCAAAATGAAAGGAAACAATCTGCGTTTTTTTTAAAATTTTCTTCAGTATTATGGACAACACTATCCCACCAACGAGTCAAACTAATGCAGAGTGCCAAGGAGTAGCGTATATCGGTATTGATTTCGAAAGGACCCAGACTTCAGTCAACTATAGATGAAGTCACAGATGCTACCAATCTATTGCAGGGGGTTTGTTATGAAAAATATGCCATATAGCAGTAATAGAGGGGTTGTACTCATTATGCAGTGTGTTAAAGCAAGCTTAACATTGAAAAGCCGGAAATCTGCTACCAGTGTGTAGTGTATGTTTGCTGTTTTGGCCATAAAAGGAAGCCGAAGTGTCATGATCAGGGAGTAAACAGGTAATTAACTGTTATTAAGCTCACTTTTTTATAGATCATATTTCACCACTCGCAAATATGTGTTTTCTTACGGTATGATGTCAACTGGTACCTAATATGTTCACCCTTACGATGAAAAGTACCTGCAGATTTCCACCTTCATATTCGAATTATATTTGGACAACTGTCTTACAGTCTGAGTGCTTCGTACGCCCCGAGAAACTCTATTTCTACAACATTCGTAGTTCCAGTATAACTTTCTCACGCAGTAAGTTCAAATTAGACACTAGTCTTTCTAAATAAGCCTGTTAAGCTAATATCCGTATTCTCTATTTCAGTTAATCGATGAAGACATGTACCACGTGCATCTGCTGTATACTACCATTTTACTCCAATTCTAACTGTTATATCTTACTTTTGAATAATAAAATTGCTATATGCAGCAAATACAGACTTATTTGTTTTGATGAAGGTAAAGGGGTTCATGGGATTTTCAGCAGGACCGTATTAATATTCTCACTAAAGAGTTAAGCGAATGCGTAAACCAGTGTAAGGTACCATACGTGGTGCATTCTAGTTACTAGTGTTCCATTAGTGCGGGTAGGGGCATTGCTTGCTTGTCATTTGAATTAGAAGCTATCAGATAAGACGCAGGTACGGTTAGGATGTGTAACGCGTGTCCATCCATCAGCTGCCGTGACAACCCATAGTGGTTATAATAAGTTATGAGAGGACCCGAGTATGTAAGTCTCGCAAGAAAATGACGAAGATATGCACCAAATCACCTTATGAAAAGCGCCTCCAATCACTCAACCTCTACTGATTAGAGTATAGACGTCTTAGAGGTGACTTAATGGCTTACAATAACCTTAACAATTCTGGACATCCCCTAAAACACCTACCTAAGCTTAGTCCCAGAAACCAGCGACACAACACAGCAGAACGGACTGTAGACGCAACTTCTACTCCTTAGGAGTTGTCAAATGCTGGAATCCGCTGCCCGCCGAGCTAGTCCAAGCGACTTCCCAGGAGTCCTTTAAGAGGCAAGTGGATCTATTCTTAAGGATAGTATCATACTATGATTTACCAATTTCTCTTTCCTCTTTTATTGTTAACATACCTAGGTTCCTGCCTGGAGGTTTTGGTGATCCCCCGCTACTAGACACGGAAGCCTGTTAAGCGAAAGCTTCTATTCAGTCTACAACCATTTGAACACATGAACTAGGTGCTGAGAGGCTCGCTTATCACAAGTTTCTTGCAACGATTAAGTAGATAAAACAAAGTAGCATTAGATTCAAAAATTTATTCAAGAACTTTCATTAAGAATCGAATATCAAACAAAGGTTTAAACCAAGTTCTTGTTTAAAAGTTGTATTGGTAATGCTAAGCTGCAGTTTTTGTTGTTTTTTTCCAAACGAAAGACTAAAAGAAGTAAAAAAATACTGGAAGTTGTTGTGAGACTAAAATGGAAGTCCAGCATCCTTTTTATAATCTGCTATTCGTTGGGTCTCCCGTAATCAGTTCCATAGGGCCATAGTTCCAAGGGCGAAACAGTTTTTAGGGTCTGTGAAGGCACTCCTGTTGCATTCTAAATGGAAAAAATAGTGATGAATTTAGTCAGAAATGTGGAATAGATAAATAACCAAGTTACATGTTTTTTAGCAAAGAATTTATGCAGTTGTGATTTACCTTGAGTTCATGAATATTAGATAAGGTCAGCTACTATTACTTGTGCAAAGCATAACATGGGCTTAGTACCGTATTGCAATGTTTTTATTATTTTGCTCCCATTTAAGTATTCCCATGCATCTGTGTCTAGTTTAACAGGACAACATACAAGCAGAGTAAGTGTCTGATAAACTAAAAGTCGCAGTTGTCAAAAAGATTCTTAACATTTGTTCACAGCCAGCTGCATTTAATTGAGACACAGAACACTCATCTTCTAAGACTGTATACTGCTGTCTTGCGGGAAACTAAAAGCTCAGACACTTAGCTATCTTGCTACCGATGTTATTGCTGGGGAAATTGTTTAGTGACAGTTATCATGAAATATTGTCAGTGATAGATGTACAGTTTAGAAATAAACACCAAACATACTTATCGCTATCTTATAATGTATGATAGCAACAGCATCAAAGGCACGTTTTTTCCTATTTTTAATCAGACTGATCTGAATCCATACACATTAGAAACAGGCAACTCCACTTACTAAACTGATCTGTTTCGTTACAGGTTTCAAGCACTATACTTAAGTATACTTAAGTATATCATAATTCTTTCAACTAAAGTGAATTATACGACAACCACGAACACTAAACTAAGCAATTGTCATAGTTGTTTCACTTGCAAAGACATGTTGCTCAAAGAAGTTAAATGGACATAATTAAGCCGATAAAACCAAAACACGAAATATAGGCTAGTTGAACTTACCTAAGAAAAAAAGAAGGATACATATATACTGCTTTAAAGCAGTATTCAGTATGAATTCATACTGAAGACAACAGGGAGTTGATCATAGAAACACAGTTTACAGTACAACAAACCTTTCTTCAGTAAAATCATGCACTGACAGTCTATCTGGAAACAATCAACTATGTGAATAAACTCACTGTGACTTGAGATATCATCTCAGCGTGCAATGGACGTACAGTGTAACGCAGTCGGACGTGGCGAATAAAAATTAAAAACAGAGAAAAATTAACTACATAATCTAGTTATTTAATTAAAAATACACTATGAAATCACAAAATCTGTGGTTACTTGAACGCACAAATGACAGTGTGCGATACATTAAGTTTACATGGTTGCGTTGCGGATAAGATCACCCGAAGCAAATCATAGACATGTTCCCATTTTCATTGAATACTTTAACTTCAGCATTTGCTTGAACTCGCTGTAAAATGTCATTGATATTTTTAGTGTCTAAACTCAATTAATTACAATGTGAGTTCAACAACCTGGGTACAACTGTGGACGCATTCTGGCGATATCGTCCTTGATAAGCTGTTTATTGAACTTCCAAGAAACCAGATACCGTAAGCTACGAGTTGGTGTATTACTTAGTAGAAACGTTCTTAAATACAAGCGTTCATTTGAGGTCAACTGTCGTTTCGATGGATCGACAGAAATATATCCTTCTGTGCAAGGATGGTTGTGCACGGTTTTAATAGAGGTGAGTTTCAACTCACGTTTAATGCCCGGACCCAAAATCCTGAATGACAATGGCAATATTTCGAAGTAAGGCATACGTAAATGACCGAGGTCGTCTCCTTTGCCTAGGTTGTGTTGGCGAGTTAGAAGTTGTATGCTCTTCAGAAGAATGAATATTACTATCATCATCTACTTCCTGAACGCAAGCATCTGACTCTGACGAACTGCGTTTACGTCCATATGTGCAGACATATCTCACGAAAAAGTACTTTAGAGTTGGATCATCACTGTTCTTTTTGCATACTGACATTGTAGAAGAGTTGGGATTACCAATTGTATTCGAATTGGGATTACCAATTGTAGCGTGGCGTCGAGTTGAGATTAACTATGAACACCGCTACCAAGAAACACGTGCCAAGCGAATCAGAAGGCGTAAGAAGCTCGTTCCAAATGACTCCATAAAATCCCCGAGAAGCCAAATATCAGAAGACAGTTAATGGACCAAGTCGAGGTTTATTAGCTGGCGATCTCGTGGCATCGAAAGGATACCGAGATCGTGCCAGGATACAAGCTTGGTTACAGAAGGTAACCGAATTAGCGCGAAGTTACAATCGAAGTGTAAGTGAAGGAATGGAAGCACAAAATAGCTGTCATTAGCACAGTCAAACAAAAGCACATTAAAACAAACACTGGTACAGTTGGTTGTAATAATAATTGTTTTTATTAAACCAGTCGTGTTCTCGTGATAAACGTGAGTCACTACAGGAGCCCCCCGCTAGAAAGGGTTTACACTTTCGATAAATAGCGGTTTGAATCGTGGGACTGATCGGCTGACGAGCGATTGTAGGACGGAAGAATTG